TAATTAATTAATATTCATTGAAATGTAACAAATAAATAACATAAGTATTGAAGGGGGCACAATTCCGAAAAGCAGAGCTTGTGATAGATTTGCCCAAGACAATTAACAACACATTAACGAGAAAAAAAGACAAACATTTAAAAGGATAATAATAATAATGATAATAGAGCATTTCAAAATATAAATGAAAAATTATTATGAAAAAACATACATATTAGGAATTACAAGGGAAAAAAACTAAAGCTACTGTTAAATAGTAAAATATCAACCAACATATGGAAAATTATTTAATCAATATTATTATTTATTAAATAATTTTTCACTTTAGAAATGAAGATTTTTTTGGATGGTGCATCAGAAGTGTTTAGAGGGAGCGAATTCCATATTTTAGGTCCAGTGTACCTAATATTATGATGAAATGAAATTTCTTTGTGTTTGGAAATGTGGAGTATTAAGATCTTTAAGTTTTAATAGTTTTAGAGAATGGAATAAGGGATCAGTACTAGTTCTTGGTGGGACGCCAGAGATTATTCGTATGATTTTGTTTTGGAGTGTTTGAAGTCTATTTAGATTAGATGGAAATGTGTTACACCATACAATAAAAGATATGTAAGCAGTTCATGTCTTTTTGCAGTAAGGCAATTCATGATGTATGTGAAAATATTAAAATGANNCATTGGATAACTGCTGTCTCTTATACACATCTAGATGTGTATAAGAGACAGATTATATATAATCACATCTGAAATGATTTTCCTTGTCCTTAGTTTCCCAACATACACCTAGGCCTATTTTGTATTAATTAGAATATAAGTGTTGTTTTTAGTCACGGGAATTCAATACAGAATTACCATACAAACCCCATTGAATTGATATTTGCTACACTTACGTTTCTCCACAGGGGGGGGGGGGTGGTTCGTCCGAACCCCTTGAACCCCCACCCTGGATCCGCCACTGAGAAAGTCGTCGAGTCCGAATCCGAACTTCGCCATCTCTGAATTATGCAAGATATTAATCATGAGCTAGCTAAGTACTCTATATTAACTCACTAACTGATAAACCGGAACGCTTAACTGCATGTTTTGACTGCATTTTATGTTTTCTTGACCAGTCAGATCTTGTCGGAACTCTGACTTTAGATAACATTTTCTTAATTACTAACTTTTATGTATAATAATTCTGCTGCTGCTGCCGTGCTGCTGATGCTTCTAACTTTTTTTTATTAATTAATTTCATCTGATTTACGTTATTATTCTATTCAGTAACTGAATAACTCTGCATGAATTATTTCATCAATTACACTTTCGAAATGCATTCCTCGTTTATTTTTCTTTTCTTCCGCTGTTTTTTTTTTTGCTTGTTGTTGCTGCCGTTGTTGATGTTAACTTGGAATTGCTTGGCCTCCCTCTCATTCTATTTATGCATTTTTTTTATTCTTTTGAGCTTTTTTATTCCAGATTTTTTGGTCCTTCTGAGTTTTGTTTGTAACTGTTGCTATTTAAATTGTATTTTTCTTTTGATGATTTTTTTTTGTAAGTTTTATTATGTCCAATGTTAATTGTAGTTGTAACAGCACCACGAGTCCCGACCGATTATCCAACCTATGTTTTTCCCCCTTCATTAACAATTCAGATAATTTTTACCTCCAATATAGATCCTCATTTCCTTTCTAATAACAAACAAAGCATCTCAGAGTATTACGACCCTGATCCTATCACAAAAACGTCAAATGATATTTTTCTACTATTCATTTCAATTCTAGAAGCATTTAAAAAAAAATTTGATCAAATGAAACACATTTTAACTTCGTTCAAACTACCTTTTGATATAATTGGAGTGAGCGAAACTTGGCTCAAATATGATGATCCCCTAGTACAGCTCCCCAATTATAATTTTGTCTCCCAACATAGAACACTCAAAGACGGTGATGGAGTAGCCATGTATATTCATAATAGTCTCCAATTTACTACTCCTGTGAATCAATTTTTATTAAGATTACAAGACCCCATTGCAAAAACATTGTCGTCGGAACCGTGTATAAATCCCCCTCCCTTGACCCTTTTCAATTTATTAATGAACTTGACTCTGTCCTTTCTAAACTATCAAGAGAAAACAAAACTGTCTACATTATGGGAGACCTCAATATTAATGTTCTGAAGCATGAGTCAGATAACGGTGCCCGCTGCTTGGTTAACTCATTTTTTGGCAATCATTACCTACCCCGCATCCACAGACCACCTTGTATCACGAAAAACTCAGCTACCTTATTAGATAATATCATTACTAATCAATTAGACTTCCTAATCTTAGCGGAATAATTTATAGCGACATATCTGATCATCTCCCTGTTTTTAATATTTCGTATTTTTCACGTGCTCAAATAAGGAAGAGAGTTTTAAATTTAGAAAAATTAATTCCACCACCTTAGAAAATTGCCATCACGACGTGTCCACACAACAGTGGTCTGAAGTAGTCATGACCCTGATAAAGCATTTTCTAATTTCGTAACCACATTAAAGAGAATTTACGATAAACATTTTCCTCTACAAAATTCTCCCAAAAAGCTGAGTAAGATTAAACCATGGATGTCCGATGGTTTGCTGAAATCGCTTAAGTATAAACAGAAATTATATGCTAAATTTCTCCATTGCCCCTCTACTAAAATGATAGAGATTACAAAGAATTTCACAATAAATTAAACTCTATTATTAAAAATACAAAAAAAAAAATTTTTAATACATTTCTTAAACATAAAAAAGATATCAAGGCAACTTGAAAAACTTTTTAATCTTTAATCAATAAAACAAGTAGGGAACAATCCAGTACCTCCTTCTACTGTGATGAAGAATTCACCAATGATCCTGATATAATTTCTAATGCTTTTAACAAATTTGTTGTCGAAATTGGACCCTTCCTTTCTAACAAAATTCCCAATGTTAACAACTCATTCAAAGACTTTCTTCGTAGCCCAAACCATAACTCTCTATTTCTTACCCCAGTTGATAAGGCTGAAGTGATCAAAATACTTGCCTCTTTTAAAACCAACAAATCCCCAGGTATTGATGACTTCCATACTAAAGCCATCAAATATATTGCTAATCACATCTCTCGTAACAAATCGGGCATCAAATCTGACCTTACTAACTATTGTCCCATTTCAATACTATCGATTTTTTTCGAAGGCCTTGGAAAAGGTAATTTACGATCGAGTTTTCTCATTTATTTCAAAATATGACATAGTTTATGAAAAGCAGTTCGGTTTCAGAAAAGGATATAGTATATCTATGACCCTTATTGATCTTACTAACAAAATTGTTAATGCATTTGAAAATCGCCTTCTTGCAACTTTTTATATTTTATCTTTCCAAGGCCTTCGACACAATTGATCACAATATTCTTTTATCTAAATTATCTCATTAAGAAATTCGTGGCCCCGCACCTACCCTTTTCAAAAGTTACCTCTCCAACCGGGATCAGTGTACTAAATATTCTACCTCTATATCAAATTACAGACCAATTACTTGCGCAGTTCCTCAGAGTTCTTTACTGGGTCCCCTCCTTTTTATTCTGTACATCAATGATATCCATCAATCCTCTAACTTACTTAATTTCTTCCTTTATGCTGATGACACCACTGCTTTTTATTCTGACCATAATATCAAATCATTATTTGATACTGTCAACTCCAATCTGATTCCCTTGTCCCAATACTTTGCTGCTAATAAACTTTCAAATAACCATGATAATAAATGTAACTTTATCCTGTTTGGGACCCCACAGAAGTTAAAATGTATTGATACCACTCCTTTTAAAATTTTTATCGACAATCATGACATACCCTCTGTTCAGTCAGCTAAGTTTTTAGGAGTTCATCTTGACAGTGGCCTTACATGGAAAAAACATATCCACGAAATAGAAAATTTCAGAAAGCCTTGGTATTATTATTAGATTATCCCCATTTGTACCCCCTAATATTCTTCGTATTCTTTACTACTCCTTAATCCTTCCTTATTTGAGCTACTGCCACATTGTTTTGGCAATACTTATTTATCCAATATTAACAGCCTTCAAATTCTCCAAAAGAAAACCAAAAAACAAAAAAAAAACTATTAGAATTATATTTGGCGCTCCACCACGGTCTCATCTCTTTCCCTTATTTTCCAATTTAAACCTTCTCAAACTCCCTGATATTAACCATTCAACAAGGTACTTTCTTATACATTGCCATTAATTCTGTTCTCCCTAACCAATTATGTAATATGTTTACCCTCAATCACTCCATTTACAATTATTGTTTTCGATCCAGAAATGATATTCACATACCTAATCATAACACCAATTATTTTCAACACAATATTAGATACACTGGACCTGTACTCTGGAATAATTTACCATCCCCAATTTTAAACTCAGTTTCCGTGAAGTCTTTTACCAAAAAACTCAGGAATCACCTTGTTTCGCAATACAAAAATTAATTTGATCGTGACTCGTGTGTTTGTGTTGTGTGTTGGTCTGTTTGTGATTGTTTTTTTTTTGGGTCTCTGTGTGCTTTTTGTGATTTTGTGTTCAGGCCTGCCCAATACAAGATTTTATTTAATTGAATCTTCTCGGGCAAGTGCCTTCTTCCTTTTGATTTGTTTCATAAACCCATCGTTTATAATGTTCTCTGTTATTTAACTGCAAATGGAAGAAAATAAATGTATTTTTGAATTGAATTGAATTGAGTTGAATATCTAAATAAGTCTTAAAGAAATGCAATGTAACAAATGGATACAATTTTCTGAAATAATGACTATGTAGTGAGTACAAAAGTCTAAAAAGACCTCTGAAACCAAGTGTTGTATTCAAAACCTGTTTCAAACACATGGTTGGTCTGTAGAAAATTCGGACCTTATTGCCAATTTTTGGTAGAAGTGATAATGCTAAATGAAGATAAAAATGAAAGGAATGACAGATTTGGTTATGAATTTCGTGATGAATTTGTTTAAAAAAATACTTACTCATGGTTGCGTTCAGTCACAACGTGTATGGGTCTATATTCTTTACTCCAGTGAAGAGAGTACATTGCTATTGTAACACAGCAAAAGGTGATCAAAACACCATAGAGTTGAATAAAGCACAACAGCTTTCTCCTTATTAAAGAGAAAAAGAAAAGTTAAAAGTTGTAACACTCTTTTGTTTTTTAACCATACACTTATAAATAGGCCTACATACATTATTGAACACATGTGTTTTCTATGATAATGTAAGTCTTAATGATGCATCAATGTTTCATGTTTAGTTCCCCAAAACTACAAAATCTTGTATTTTTCCAAAAAAACATATGGTTCATTGTTTTAATTTCGGCAATTTGCATTGAACATTTTGTTGTTTAGTGTTCTTTTTTAAGGTAAACAACAAGGAGCAAATTATATTTAGATATGTAATACTTACCTACAATGGTCTGATTATTCTTATTGTTACACATTTTGTAAACAATTAATATACACCTTTATAAAATCCTATATTATTGCTCAGATATTTTATGCAATCGACCAACACGATTTACGACCATATACTTAGCTTCTTTTCCAACTTTTACACCAAAGTTTACTGGAAGCGAAGAGCGAAAACAACATACTAACATACATTTGCTGTATACACAATTGCACACACAACGAATGAAAACATTTTATATAACAAGATATGGGATAGGCCTATTTATCTATCATCTGATTAACAAATCGCTAAAAATGTACAGGTTATAACTACTAAATAGATGCCGGACCGATATTGGCTTATGTGGACTTTTGGCAGGTAGTTTTCCACAATCGAATTATCTCGCTTTACTTATTTTTGTGCTTACTCCGATTGTAGACGTAAAATTGTATGCAATTGTTTAAAAATATTATATCAAATTGATTGATACATTAAATAACTTACATTTCGTAATAAATCCAAAAAGTAATCCAGTGATATCTTCAGAATAGGTGGAAATCGCTCTGAAAATATAGTTTATAAAGTATTTATTTATAAAGTATTACAGCACCTTTTGCTGTTTAGGACGAATACTGTGCTAGTACATTATTTGACCATTGAACTGAAGAAAGACGACAAAAACAGGCCTGTATCCAGGTGTGGGAGGTGATGGGAAAAGGGCGAATTTATGTGCGAAATTTTAAAACGTTTGTTCTTGCGCTTTCACATTTTTATCTGAGTTTTTAGCTTCAGAAATCAGTAGTTCTAACAGTTAATTTTTACGAAGCGAAAAAATGCGCAACCAATCAGAGCTTAGGGAGCGAACCGACGCGTGCGGTTTTGACTGGACTGATATTCAATACGGTAAGCACCAGTACACAATCTCACTTCCACGTCAATATATTCAGTGAATATCCGCGAGGTGCGCTACAAATCCTGTTAATATAAAAATGGGATTGAATCTGGTATTGTTAAAATAAGAGACATTATTAATAACAACAGAAAGATGATACCACAGGAAATCTTAGATTTTAGATAAATATGACCAACTGGCTAAGTGTCGCTTATTTACGCTGTCACAACTGATTAGATACAAATTATAATAGGAAATGTTAATGTCAAAATAATTATCAAGCTGGTAATGATTATTTTTCTATTGCACAAGTTAAACGAATAATGTTGTATTTCATGATTTTGAACATTTTCACGTTTTCCCGTTAAATTTGGATAAGTACTTACGAAGATATGATATTAATCACTGTTTTTGGTAATGTTTTTGTCAGCTATTCAATATAATACCTTACACCCCTCTGCCGATAGCCATTCAGGCAAGGCATTACTTATCAGCCAGAGAATGGTACAATGAAATAGAAACGCATTTGCCACTAAATCTTAAAATTGTCAATGCAAATTAATGTTATGTGCTACTAACTTACCTATTCTGAGATTATTGTCCCCCCTTCCCCTTACTCTCGTTTGAAAAATTCTGGCTCTGCTCCTGATTTTTACACAGTTTTAAAGAAGATGCAATTGTTTGTGGTCATAGGCTATATTACTATAATTGTAAGGAGGTATTCTGATGGATATTTTTAGCGACCTATGTATTATACACTTTACAAATCTTAATATTATTATTATTATTAATTTTATTATTATTATTACTATTCTTATTGTGCCTAAGCTGGCCTATGTATGATGTTATGCCTACCTAGCCTTTTAGATGATCATGCCAAAATGTTATTCTAATTTTCCATTTTTAGGTAGTAGTAATATGACTTAGGCCTATTATTTTTCGAGTTACATTCTCATGTTGCTAATTTCATCCCTCAATATCGCTAAGCATAGTGTTATATGAATGTTAGATCTAGTAACTGCATCATGAAACAAATTAAAACGGCAACAGGTATATAGTATACAAGAGAAACGTTTTAATTATTGTATACCGTAGTCGTCTGGATATATATATAGTTTTTTTTATTTTTCTTTTTTTTGTGCATGTTAGGATTATATATTTTATTGTCATTTTCTTTTAATGCACTTAATATGCTCATCTGTGTTTGGATTTTTTTTCTATTTGTAGCAAACTTTACATTATTGTCACAGTAAATCATTGAATATAGCTTGCTATCGATTAACCATGTCCCAATGTCTAGTTGTGGGAATGGTCAACAAACAATTATTTAACATTATTTTGGTAGTTAATTCCAGCAAACAGTGTATTCACAAATAACTTTAGAAAGCTGTTTACTGGAAATAATGTTTACCTACTTTCACTCAATAGACTTTTTGAAATGTAGCAAGATATATCATAGAGAAAATAGAACATGGTTTTCTGCAGTTTCATTTCCGTGTTGATAGGCGGCCCAGTGCAACACACATCTGGGTTACCCTCCAATAACAACAGTTATTAGTTAGGAAATAACAATCATTATTATAAAAAGTTGACTATAAAATATTAATTTCGTTCCTAGTGAAATTTTAATAACTTAATACATGAAAATATTGTAACAATTGTGATTTATTAGTCAGTGAATTATAGGTACTCATTGCTACACTATTTTTTTCCTAATTATATCATATGCTTTATAATCATTAAGGGGGATTCCATGGTAACCGACGTTACAATTCATCCTTTATTTATAGTCACTTTATATTAGAAACATGAAAAATCTACAGGGAATTATTTTTTATTGCTACATGTTAGTCTATGGGAATGAAATATAGGAATTAAAAATGTTATATATATATATATATATATGCATATATATATGTATATACACATCTCATGTCCAAGAGATAGATAAAAATATGCTATAAAACTTTGATTAGAGCATTGCTTTGGCCTTTTTTTCGATTTTGCATAAAATATAAATGGTTCTGTTTTGAATTTTCAATTTTCGTATGCAGGTCTACATTTTCAAATAATTATAAAGAACAGAACCACCACCACCATTCTTTTATATAAATTATCCTATCTAACAATCATTCATTTGTTTAAGATAAAAAAAAAGGAAATAAAAAATCAAGCAAGACTACAATAGCTAGGTGCCAGCAGCTTAAAAAGCAGAATAATATAACAATACAAATAAAAAATAAAATAACTTTTAAAACTCCGGAGAGTCTGAGCTTCCGGCTTCTTTTCCTAGATTATGTTTCTCAACACAATATAAATCCAATGGCAGCATGTCATGCGCTGATACCAAAATGTGCACGAAATTGTTCAAGCCGAACTCTCAGCAAAATTAGATATACAGATGTGGGGTAGGAAAAAAGTCCTAAGAAGGTCCATGAAACCATTCATGTGTTAACTCAGACATCAAAAGATGTGGGCTGAATCACTCTTGCGGAACTCTGCTACGCAAAGTTGTAGGCTCATTGTGTATACAGTTAGCGTGTACCTAAATACAACGGTGGGGGGAAACTAGAAGATGTAACAGCAGTATAAGAATGTATAATACATACTTAAAGTATTGAAATACTCGCCATCGTGTTGGGATTCAATATTTCGACATTAATTATGTCATCATCATTCCTGATGATGACATAATTAATGTTGAAATATTGAATCCCTACAAGATGGCGTGTATTTCAATACTTGGAGTATGTATTATACTTTCTTATCTGAGATTAATCAGTGGACCTTTCGGTTTTAACAGCAGTATGTTCTATTAACTTTAAATTTGTACTTGGTAAAATGGGTTATACTGAGCCGATTTTCACAATTCAAAAGTCGATATGAGGTGCTAGTTAACTAAGAGTTTGTTAAGATTTTTTTTGCTTAATAAACAATTTTAATTACTTTTGCAAATATAAAGATGTGGGTAACCCACATCTTTATATACGACTTTTCATGGATCTCGACCTGCTAGGCCAATAAATTCAGGACGACATGCAATATTCCCCAAAAACTTGAGTAGTCATTATCATACAAAATTTGGTTAACGCATCAGCTTTAAGCTGTTCTTCAATTCTTTTACACTGACGGAGTGCTAAATTAAATAAGCAATTTTTAAAAAATACATACAAATATTATTAACAGCATTTTATGTCATTAATAGTGAATATCTGATAATTAACGCGTGTTTGAAGTTTATAACAAAATTCATAAAGAAATAGGCTAAAAAAGGCTATTATAATTAATTATATTACATGTAGGCCTAGTTTTTGCTTTACCAGAATAGCGTAGCGCCTTAGCTAGGCGTACATCATATTCGTTAATAGTAGCAATTAGGCTTGGCCTCCGTATTACGCACAGCACAACTTTGAAATAAGTATAATAAACGAGTGTTTGTCGCAAGCCTCTGGCAAGGGTCCCAGTCCCCGGGGTTTCTCCAAAATAACTTGTAGTATATAAGAGAAATCCTAAGCCATACGGTAACTGAAACAGTGCTTACTATATTAGCTAGGCATACTACGTACGTACGGGATTACTACAAGTACTAAGACCGATTTAATACACTATTTAGATAGGCTCTTCTTTTCCTATCTTGAATTCAAAGGTCGAAACAATTTTTTTTCAATTTTATTTCAATCATAGTGGCGTAGAATAGTCTTTTAAGAACATTTTCTAGCAAAAAATAATGTGACTCGACCCTTCGTTATGGAGTTATGATTTTTTATAAAGTACAAGATACAAGATATATTTATTTTTCAATATGCACAACATGGTTTCATATGAAATTTGTTTTCCAGATTCTTAAACAGATACATTGATATAATTTAGATCTTAAACTATAACACATAAGCCACATACTGAGACATATTGCAAAACAAAGATAAAACTTAAACTACTGTACTTTAAGCTAACTTAAACTACAAACATATTCATTTCACAAATGGCAAGACATATTTAGGATAAATATATAAAAACGGCTATATACATATTGAAAATCAGAGGTTTAAGTTGTAAACAGAGTGACATGGTAGGCCTATAGGTCTAAAATATATATTACAAGCAGGGACGGCGGAATGTTTTTTTAAAGTGGAGGGGGCGCCCCACTTATAAGATGAATTGGAATATGAATCATGCAGATCTGGAATCAAATCTAGGGGGTGGGGTCAACATTTTTCCGGATCCGGGGGTCTTTCCCCTCTTGAAAACGGTCAAGTAATATTTTCCCATTGTTATTACAGTAAATAGGCCTTATGTGTGTATACATACATAAAAAAAATTAAAATGAGTAGTTTTTTTATTTCTATATGGCGGGAAATGACCTTTCTCGGCTTTTGAGCTAAGTGTCTAATGACTTTGTTCTTCAAAATTCAAGGTTTTTCCCCTCTTTAAAACGGTGTGGTAAACTTTCTCATTCTTATCACAGTAAATAGGCCTGTTATGTGTGTATACATAGACCTACATAAAAAAGAGTAGTTGCATACGTATTCTTTTTTCAATGAATCGATAAGCTCCAAAGCCTAGATGGCGGGAAATGAGCTTTTCCGACTTCTGAGGTGTCTTAATTACTTTTAAGTTCTTCAAAATTCAAGGTTTTCCCCTCTTGAAAACGGTCAGGTAATTTTTTCCCAT